ATGTAATGGGCACACATCCAATGCTGCACTAATGGTGTGCCTATATGATGGTTTGACAGCCAGTCTTGTCACATAGCCAAATCTGCACCCATCACCTGAACTGCAGGTTGTAAGATGGCTGTTATGTCACCCATCAGTTGTGTGATGGGGATGGGAGGAGTAGAGAGAGCAAGGTTACTGAGGAACGAGGTGACAGGCAATACACTACCACCACAACATATTCTGCCTAGAGACTACTGATTCTTGCCTTCTGAGGGGCCCCTGAGGAGACTGGTGGGAGTAAGATAGATTAATTGTTCTAGTATGACAAATGTAGTCTGCATGATGGAAGCTTCTTACACTGCCCTACGGTAAGAATGAATGTGCTCTAATTCAGTTTGAATTCCCTATACTGTATTCAGTCACAACTGCTCCCCATCAAGTAATGAATTCAGTAGAGGCAGAAAAGTGAGGAAAGAGCACAGTTGCACAAAATCACAGAAAATCCTGAAAAGAAAGTGAAAAAAAAGTCCTTCAGATTCAGAAGTCAAACTCATAGCCCTGGGCAAAAAAAACTGTTAGTAATTTCCTGAGCCTAAGGAGTGAAGGATGCTAACTTTTCTGGGGAGTTCGGATAAGAAAGCCAGTTCTTTTTTGGAAGTTGTAGCTGGGGGTACACCTAACTAGTTCTTAAATGAGAGGATCAAACCATTGGCATGTTCTATTCCAGCTTGTCTGCAGACAGAATTGCCCTCTCTTGTACAGGACCATACCAAGTTTTCATAGTGTAGAACTGAAATACAAAGGGATGACAACCATTATCTATCTCATTTCTGCATGAGAGATGTCTTTAGCAAAAAATCTGGGTGTTTTCACCTCAATCAAAGCTTTTTCAACAATTGCAGGCATTGTGAACTTCTTCCACTCTTATTAAAAAAAAAAAAAGTTAGGAGTAGTAAAATAAAAAAGGTGGATGACAAGAATCATGCAGGAAAACTCCACAGAGAGGATCACATCAAAATAGAACTTCATTAGAGAAGCAAGGCCCTTCAAAAACTTTGGTAAAGTAATGGTTCCACCAAATGGTCTGCAAGTCCAGAGTACTGAGGAAATTGCTGACAGTGTTGATTTCATGCTTTAAAATAGAGATATGGAAATGTGCCAATAATGTAGCTGCAAAGAGGAACTGCAGCTTGAAATGAGAAAGAATCTTAGTCTTTGTTTCCTCCTAGAGACTCTACAGAGACAACTTCTTCATTCCAATTACAATTTTTATTTTGCCTATTGATGACTTGCGCAGAACACAGGTTATAAGCCTCCTCAGATCATTCTATATAGAATGGTCAGCAAGCCATCACATCTGTAATTCAGAGGAAAAAATGAAGTCCAGACCTATAACCAGTGGATTTAGAAGTAAATTTTTCATATTTGTCATTCTCAGTATTTTAAAATGCCGTAAGACACTTTGAGGAGTCTCATTAACTATGCAACAGAAAGGTTTTATCAGCTCTCCTCAAATATTTCTATTTAAGTCTGTTAATCTCTATGACCTGGTAATCACCACAAAAATTAGACTGAGACCTGGATGTCTAAAGCCATTCCTGTTCCAATAACAACCCTATAAACACTCAGAAGGCGGAAGCAGACATGAGCTGCTAGTTTGCCAAAACATTTCCAGTACCAGCTACCCGAGAGAAAGCTTCTTCCTCAAACAAAGCTTTTATCATGACAGCCAGATGGTGATACAGAGACAGCCGGCACCTTGCAGCAGGACTAAAGATGGCTGATATTGATAGCTGGACAAACAGCACAAGAGGTATTTCTCTACTATGGATTGCAACCAGTTATGATGAGTCAATAACTAGGAGAGAAGTAAAAGGACTCTGCCATTAACAACAGAACTAGGGAGAGTTGAGAAATTCAAGAAAGGAGCACAGTGCCTCTCTGGGAGGGAAATAAACATTTTCATAGCATTCTACCAGAGACATCTCTGAAAAGTCAAGAAATAAGCATCACTGAAACATGCAAGACTTTTAGTCTTTTCTTCTTTCTTTGAATAGGAATAAAACCAGCCACAGGAGAGGAAGTGTTTTGCTACTGTACCTGTTCAAATGGGCATAACTTTATTAATTATTTAAGAACTCAGAAAATTAGTAAGAGATATATCAGTTTTCATCATGAAATGTTATGTGTCGATTATTTAAGTAACTGCAATTTTGTGTAATAATCTTTCTGACTACTAACCAGCTGTGCATATGGAGCCACAACACTGTACAGCAAAGCAAGCGCCTCTTCTTCGAGATACACATAATTCTATTGTATTATTGTCAGGTGACAAATGTGACAGTTATATCGATATTATTATATAGAAGTGGTATGAATGTGCCAACATCCAAGACTGCTTTTCTATTGTTACACTTTATATTGATCAGGAACCCAAGGAAAGTCCAAGACACTCTACTTCTGGCAATGAAAAAAACTACAGACTCATTCAGTAATTTCTTAAAATTCCAGCAAATTGTCAGTACAGAAATCAGGAAGGTGGCTTGGATACCCAGTTCTCATTAATCTGCCCTCTGGCACGTGTCAGTGCTCTGAGAGAATTTTGCATTACGCTTTAATAAAATCATTCAAGAAATATTGAATGTGTAAGTAATTTTTCACTGAAGGACATTCATGTGGCAGTCTTTAGACATGGATTAATTTTTTACTTGAATATTTTATAAATAATATCTGGCTTCAACAATGCAAGAGTAATATTTTGTCATCACTCAGACTCATGTTATTAGATCTGTTTGATCTTCAGAGGACAGTAAACAACACATACGGTCTCATTTATTAATTTAAATGAACCGACTCTTCTAAGTTATTATGCCTACGTTCATTCATCTACATTTTCCAAAGTATTAACGAACAAGAAACAGAGTTAAATTATATACAAAAAGAAGCTAGTTCCCTTGATTGAAACTCCAAAGAATATATTCAAGATAATGTTATTTTTTTTATTTCCACAGGTATTTCTTTATCAAATAGTTTTATCACCATCCCAAAACAGTAAAATGACACTGAGACAGAGGAGATAGGAAGAGGACTATGTCTCCAGCAGCTCCATGTGTGTGTGTTTGCTATTTTTAGCCCAGCTTTGGACTTTCCCAAGTCTAATATAACACCTATTTTTTTCTTTTTTCCATATCATTAACTGGGAGACCTGTTAAAAGAATTCTAATGTTATTGTTTAGCAATGTTCCACTCCCATGATTTTCCTTATTAGAACCATTGCCTTCTGCAGTATTATTGGTGTGATTCTAATTATCTTGCAATGCACTCAAATTAGAGAACCTCTAGTTTCTTTTCTAAAAAAAAAGAAAAAAAAGGAAAGAAAGAAAGTAAACCTAGATCTTATAACTTTAAGGATTGATAAATTCTCAGTATAAAATCTCACTCTCTGTTCATTTTCAAAATAAATTATATTTGATGTGGAGAAAGGAGAAATGTGAAATCACAGAAATCCAAGTGACTACAGCACACACAAACGAAATGCCAGTTAAAAAGCTCTGAAAAATTCCAGTGTTTCAGAAAGGTCATCTATTTTGTTTCTGCTAGTGCAGGGGCAGTTTGCCTGACTTCTGTAGTAGAGAAAAAGCAGGTCATATTTTACACTGTGAGAACCATCTGACGAAAGAAATAACCATTTAGCACATCTGCCAAGAAGAAACACCATAAGGAAACATTTCCTTGAGCTATTTCATATACATTTCTGCAATTATATTTTCTTTAACAGGTGATTGCAGGACAGAAGTGTTCTGTCAATTCACTGTAGATTAAAAACAATAAATCAAGCACACGCGAAAATCTCCTCTGTTTGCTTTGCAGATTGTAAGGAACTATGTAGCTACATCTGAGTCTTTACTGCCTCTCAACCATGTTTTGTTATTCTTCATAAATGAAACTGTGAACATATATTGTGCTTACTCAACAGAGGCATGACAGGTTAGACCGAGACTGTCAGAAAGTTTATTGTGCAGAACTGCGCAATTTTAACTTCAAAACAGCTAAATGAAACACTACATACCTGACTCATCCTGATGGCCCTGCAGGCCCTTAGGCAGAGGTATCCTAGAATTTATGACAAGGAAACTCCTGTCTTTCTTCTCCATATACTTTATGATGAAGTCTTTGAAGAATAAGTTTAGAGACAAATTTCTAGATCTTTCTTTTTCCTTTTTAAGGGGGGGAGGAAATAATAATAATTATTATTATTATTGTTATTGTTGCCATTGTTGTTATTGATGTTGTATTTTATTTTTCTTATTTTATTTTAATTTTAATATATGATCTGAAAACTGAAGCAGCTTCCATTCCTCTATACAGTAAAAAGAAGTTTCATTAGACGTTTACTTTCCAATTTCTATTTTCCCATTACTGGTAGTAATCACTCGGTCCTATGCAGTTCTGATAGCTCTGAGTAAGCAGCACTTAAAAAAAAATAAAAAAATTAAGGATTCCAAAACCCGGAAGGATTTGTTTGACAATGAGAAATTTGAACTAAGTAACATTTAATCAACCACTCAGGACAACTTTGTTTCAGAAGTAAAGGGAATTTAAAAACGAGTTAATCAGACAGTGCTCACACTTGTAGCTTCACAAAGCACACACAGTTTGACATGTAGATGGACCTCCTTGAAGTTCATCATATGTTGTCTTGCTTTCCATTGTTCAAACTGCATTATCAGGTACAGGTTTCTCCCTATCCACACCTCCTATTACATCCAGCAAGTCTGCCTCAGCTCCATCATACTAGCTTTTCTCCTTGATTCAGGGAATACTTACCTCACCTGAACTTTCTTGAGAACCATGGCCAAATGTTCTTTTATATACAGCCTGATGAGGTGCCCTGAAAACTCTGCAGAAAAGGAGCTCTGAAAAATTTATACATTCCCGTGCTTTTAGATGTCTTGAAAAATTTCCATCTATACATCTTGTAATTGTCAATTTGGCATAAAATTTAACATTAGGTGTATGTGTGACTTTTAAATATTAATGATCTTCTGCTCTCACATAGAGAGTACTAAAAGCCCCAGAGAGTAACTCCTTTCAGTATGACTCTAGCAACAGTAGTCAGAAGATGCACTTCATCTCTCTCTGGTCAATTGATATCCTATTGAACGTGTATTCACTATGCAGTCCTGTGAACCACACAGAGGTCTGAAAATTACAGCTTAATGGGGGTGATACAGGCATTGTTTGCAAATAAGGTGTGCTGCTGGACCTTGTAAGGGGATGTGAAGGCTGAACACACAAGGGCGTGTGAAGGACGAAGGTTGCCTTGCCTGTAGTTACCATGAGATGGTGGAGTTCAGGATCCTGAAAGGAGAGAACGTAAAAGAAGTAAGATCTCTGGACTAACAGGTAGTATGCAGAAGGTGGAAACAGGGATAGGTGACCTGCGAGGAATATAGAGACACTGGCCTGAGCATGCAGAGATAGTTAGAAAAGCCAAGTGCATCAGATGCTGAACCTGGAGAAGTCTTTCACAAGTGTATAAGTAGCAATAAATGCAGCAAAGAAGTAGTAGCAAATAAGTTTTTGGTCCAAAACTGTCCAATGTCTTCATTAATGGTCTGGATGATGGGGTAGAGTGCACCCTCAGTCAGTTTGCTGATGACACAAAACTGGGAGAAGTGGCTGATAAGCCAGAGGATCGTGCAGCTATTCAGAGAGACCTCAGGAGGCCAGAAAAATGGGCCAACAGGAATCTAATGGAGTTCAGCAGAGGAATTTGTCAAGTCCTACACTTGGGGACAAAAAACCCCATGCACCAGTGCAGGTCACCCAGTTGGAAAACAGCTTTGCAGAAAATTATCTGATGTTCCTGTTGTACAGACAGTTAACCATGAGACAGTAATGTGCCCTTGAAACAAAGAATGACAGTATCTCCCGATCTGCATTAAATCTAGTTTTCCACAGTCTCCTACATTTTAAGATATATCTGTTATTGCTTAACAAAACTTTTACCAGGTAGAACAGTTCACTACATACATTTTCAAGAAGAGAGGTAATAGAAAAAAAATCAGAAAACAGATCAGTCAGAAGAAAAGAAAGATAATCAGACATTACCTAATCCTTCCTTTGGATTAGGTAATCAAGGTCCTTTCTATATTATTACATTGTGCAATTTCTAATTTTTTGAACTACATTACTGTTTAAAAAAAGTTTACATTATAAACACTGGAAAGGGAAAACTTTAGTAATAAAAAGAGAATGCCAATAACTTTGAGGACAATTAGCTTGAAAAGTTCAGAAATATTCCGGCACTACTACACTATTGTATATACTTCAGAGAGCCTTTGTTTACAATCCAGACTGTTTGAATCAATATCGCTACTTTTTGACTTTTCTTCAACTCACTCACTAAACATTTCTAGTCTACTTCACAAAAAAACTGAACACTTTTGTAAAAAAAACAGAGAAGATGTATCAGTATATGTAAGTAATGACATTTATAGTACTGCTTGTCTTTCTACACTTCATTAAATTTTCACATTTATATTTTCTCAGACAGAAGAGGATCAATTCAGGTATGGACAAAACAAACTGGTCTCTCTTTTGCAGCTACTACAGATGCTTTACAAAGTCTGAAAACAAAGCTGTTGCAGTCTAAATAACAGATGAAAGTGACATTTGCTGAGAGGACAGCTATTTATTATGTTACAGATGCAAAAATCAGGGGGATTAAAAGACAAAAGGGTAATATGATAAGGTTCAATCTCAAAAATGGCACATTAACAGACATCCAAGAAAAACTAAAATTAGAAAACTAAAAAGCTTTTTTATCACATCAATCCGACACATGAAGCATTCCCATTCTCAAGTTTAGGGTTGAAAAAGGGTCTGTCCACAAAACTGAAAAAAACTGCTGGGACTGTCCTATATACACAGGCTGCAGAACTGTATTTAATCACCGTTTTACCTCCCATCCAGTCATAAGGTAGCTAATCTTATGTATTATCTTTGATTACAAGATTCTTTACATAGAAAAAGAAAATTATATTTATTTTTACTGAAAGGTACTTATCTGTAAAGGTTTATCTTCATTTCACATCAGAAACAACCTTGCAAGCATCTTTGCTTCATTTTTGCATGTATCTTACGTGGAATATGCAACCAAAAAATCCCTAATATTATCCTAAACAAAGCAGTTGAAAAGACACTCAGAAAAAGAACTTAAATGAAAACCTGGCTTCACTCATCATATTCCTGTTGATACCAATGAAACCATGATTTCACCCATTCATACATGAGAAGATATAATACCTGCATATAGCAATGCCCAGGAATATCTTGGCTGTTATATGAGATAATATGAAATCTCGTGGACAAAATATGGGATTTTCAGGTATAAATTAAAAGTTCTTCAGAATGTAACTAGACTGCTTTCATTCAACATTTATAGGTGTCTCTGATATCATCAAGTGAAAGATACCAAGAAACATAAAGCATAATAATGTTTACACAGTGTATATGCTTGTTGATTACTTATGTATTGTGTGTGATATTGTTGTGATATATGCTAATTAAAAAAATTATTACATTTTAAACCATTGAGGATGACCAAGGGACAGAAAATTAAGTAGATTCTATTTTAAAAGTTCTTTCTTCAAAATCTGTGGATTATTTTAGAATATCAGGGAGTTTTTCTATTTATAATTTATTTCTTCCAGAGAAAGTAAGTCTGGGCATTCTTACCATATCACTAGTACTCTGCTGTTACCATTACACTGACTTGATGTATTTGAACTATGAAAAAAGAAATTATCCTAAACTGAGTTTAAACTGAAATATACAAATAATTGCTGTATCAGCAGCAGTTTACAAAATTACCATCAGGGACCCTACCTTACAGTTGTTTATTTTTAAACATATTCATTTATTATACTCTCCAAAGCCAGTGTTCATGCCAAGCATTTTTACATAGAAATATAATCTATACCTTTGATTTAGTTTAGAAAGTAAATATAATCTGTTTAAAATTAGTAGGGTGGCATGGGGTTTTTTTGGGTTTTTGTTTGAGTTTTGACATGAACAATGCAAATGGATTACTTTTCTGAAAAGAACAGTCTCAGAAACCATAATTATGTAACAGTGCTAGCTAGAATCAAGCACAGGTAGAACCTATGGAATTTTTATAACACATAAATACATGTTGAGCTACGGAGCTACTATAGTCCATGTTTTTATTCCTCTCAAACTTCAAATCACAGATCTGTGCAGCCCTAGTAATGCTGCACAGGGCCCTAGTAATGCTGAACTTGTGTTCTGACCTAGATTTATAGATCATTTTCACAGAGACTCTGAAAATAAACCTACAGAATGACACACATATCCTCCTCTCTTTCATCTGAAAGCTATACACCCAGATTTACTCCATGGCACTCTAATATCCAAGACCTAGGATTATTACAGAATGTGTAAGTTAGTTGTAACAAATTACACGATGATTCTCAGAGGCAGACAAGTTAATCATCAACAGCTTTGTATTAATACCAGGGTATTAATAAGCAAGAAAGAATAAAAGTCCAAAACAATAGGCCCCTGCTATTTCTGAGGATAAAGCAAATTCCAATATAATTTGTATGACTAAAATCACACTTAGGGATCTGTGCAAATTTTTAGGTCACTAGTGCACAATGTATTCTTTGCTTCTGCAGTCTCTCTCTTCCAGTTTCTTTCCTATACAGGTGGTTCAGTCACATCTGACCAAGCTGCAGAGACAGCAGAACAGACCCAGATAAAATAAGCATAGCTGTGTTTCAGCATGTGCAATGGCTAGTTGTATGTCTCCTTGACTAGCCATACACATTTCTTGCTTTACATTACTAATTGTATCGGGAAGTGGGTTTATTTAATTTACCTACTTGCAAATGTAATCATGGCATACCTTCTATATATTTCAGAATAAATGAAAAAAACATACAGTCCCCAGAAAGGGAGAAAACTGAGCATTCATCACTGGCATCTCTGCAGTTCATGATTTTGTTCCTCACCAAATGATTGCCCAGTCAGAGGCAGCACAGTACGTATTTTTTCATAACTTGCTGTTGTTTACATTCTGCATTATTAAAAAAATTTAAAAAGAAAAAGTATCCTCTCAAACATTGTCCACTTTTAGGGCCATATTTCCTCCAAAATTCACAAGAGAGACTGGAGGCTGAACAAGACAATGTGGTAATATAGTTTCAAGTCATTTTCATAAATGCTTTATCATTCACATTCTGAGTTGCATAACAGAAAGAAAATAAATTTATGCATCAGGCATTTAACCTTCACAGCATCTGTGTCAAAATTAGAGGTAAATGTAAATTTGCCTTACTTAGTGCAAACAATGCATTACACCAAGCCTCTCCACATGTATGTTTTCTCTGCTTAGATTCCATCAGATGTTGCACCAGTATTTTTCATGACTAGTATATCCAATATGATCAAGTAAGTAAATATGGGAATCCTGAATGGTTTCGTCCACTGCTTTGCTTGCATTCTCTGTTTCATAAACACTAATACCAACAACCCAACTTGAAGTGTCAGACACCATCACACACTAGTCCTGCCCAGCGACTACACTCACCTTCTGAGGATTCTCCAGCCTTAACAGTCATGGTTTCAGTCTTCTATGTTTTGTAGCTGTGGGTTAATAGAAAAAAAATACTATTCTCCTGCAAGTATTGAACATATTTTAAAATAAAAAGCACAAAAGTATTACCATACATATGACTGTGTTTATTTTTTCCATAAATTTCCAAATACATGCACTTATTATGTATACTCACTAAATTTAAGATCTTGATATTTATTTTGTCTAACTTGCAAAACTTTTTAATAATAACTTACTCTATTATTACATCCCATTTTCTTTAAATGCTTACTGACTGCTGTTTCTTTGATCTTTCCAGTACTTCCTTTTCTTGCATTCAACCTTTTCTATAAAATAAACAGGTTTCCCTTAGTCCACCTACCTCTTCCTACATTTTCACACTACTTTGTGAAAATATTCTGCACTGTTCCAAAACTGAAAAAGTTGCAAATAAGTTATACAGAATGATATCTCTGCCAGCTCAGGTCACCACATCTCAAGACTATTTTCCTTTAGGATAGGAGTAAGCTTTCCAGATGAACAGAGGCTATTTTTCCTAGAAAAACATATTACACTTGTTTTCCCTCACGCTGCCTCTTCCTTTACAATGGGAATTTTAAACAAGGAGTCACATTTCATTAACGTTATTGCTCCTTCTTTACTTTACATTGAATGCTGTACTAAAAATACAAGTTTACAGAAAAAGCTCAAAATCAGGCTTTAATCTTTTTCTGTATGTAAAAATCTCATGTATTGTATGATGCACAACTCTTAGAAAACAATAATGTGAACATGTAATTATCAACTGTATGACAATACAGAGATTCAAAGGAGAAGAAACATTCATGAAGTATCCATGTCTGAGAACATGATTTCAGAATCAGAACAATGTTTGCTTTTGAACAAATGTTTTCATAGTAGAGTGGGAGATGGCATAATGTGGCACACAGTGTGACTGGTAGAACAGAAGCAAGCACATAGATCTTTTTTTCCTCTCCTCCTTTACATCAGTCAATAACACTTTGCTTTCAGCATCATTCCTGTCTGCTGTAGGTGTTCCTGCAGGACCTGAATGTTTCAAATACACATTGTTCCTTCACAGCAGCAGCATGGACTTGTAGCCTTTATATTCAGTCATTTTGACAGCCTACAAAAATCTCTTTCTGAAATGCAAATGAAGTCAGGGAAGTGGTAATTTGTAAAATTTTATAATTCAATGAGAATTTAGAAATATTTACAAAAGACCGATCTCCTGCTGCAGGTCTTTGACCCTGGCAAACTTCAAAGGTTGGTGAAAAGAGTAAGGCATTAAAGTTTTGAGGAAAAAACCCCAACATACTACAGAAATCTAACAATGGAAAATGCTAGGCAATTTAAAGAGAGGGTTCACTATCAGCACTCCTAATAATTATTCTACATTTCTTATTTTGTTTCTTTCATAACTAAAAAGTTCAATGTTCATTTTTACTTTCTGCCTAATGAGGTCTATTCTTCCCTTGCAGCCAAAAAAAATTGAAAGTCCTTTAGAAATCTTATCTAAATATGTACATTTTCAACTTCTTGCATACATACTAGTTTACAGTACAGATAAAAAGAAGTCAGGCTTTTCAATGTAATGTAGTAAATAAGTAAGTAAATAAGGTCATTGTCACTGTCCAACAAAATTATCTCTATTCTGAAACTGTCAATTTATACTTAGCAATAAAGTTTGATATTTCTTTGAATGAGCTAAAATCCTTTCAAGGCATCGATCTATTTTTGCTGCATGTGTATATAGTTTCCCAAATCCTGAAGGCAAACTTCTAGGTATTCTTACAATGGTAAAAAAACCTTTAAAGACCCTATACTCAATTAACTCTATGAACAAACATGGGTATCACACAAAACATTTCCTTTTCCCTTCAGGAATCTCACAAATGTCATTATCACCATTTATTTATATGTTGATCCATTGAAAATAGCAATTACTCTGATTCCTATTACAGGAAAAAAACAAGTATATTTGAAGTTTTTCAAATTAAATCCCAAGTGGCATGTTTAAATGAAAATTACTTAAACACTAAAATGCATGCTAAAGAGCTCTCTATTTCATTTTACATGGTCTGTTTAAGTTTTAGCTGAAAGCATACAGGAAGAAGATAGTTAGTGCTGGAACATTTACTCTGACTAAAAAAGCAAGATGAGTGCATATGTTAATACCATTGAAGATGAAAAATTTGTGAAGTGGAAGGAAAGCAACAGCTCCATGAGTCTATGTAGGCACTCTAGCTTTAGATAATGATTCAAGAACTTAGGATTTCTGGCTCAGGGAAGCAAAAAAAATATGCAACAAAGAATGTCAGAACTGCTTAAATCTCTTCTCTCAGATACATTATGTTCAGTACACAAGGAAATATAGGGCAATACCCTTGTGGTCAGGAGTATCAGTAAGAATTAAAAACACTGCACAACCAAAGCAAGCTCATCAGCTGCATCATTCGGCTAAACTCAGAAACAACCTAATGTGGAACTATCTACAGTTACTGTGTGATCAAGCTACACAAATTATAAAACCAATCTGGTTATATACAATTTTTTTGTTTGGTTGATGCCTTTCCATGACCAAGGATACAGACTACAATTCTTACTCCCTGACTAGTTTTCAGGACTATATTGGGGACGGTATTATGCAAATCTTCATCAATGACAATTTCTTCTAGGCTGACTGCCACCAAAAGGAGCTTTAAAAGCAAGATAAATCTCCTAAATTACTTTTTTTGAAACACAAAGGCTTATATGGTGCTGCTATGCTTGCAGAGCAGCAAGAAGCCACCACTAACATTGCTCTTAACAAATGCCCTACAATGATTCAGCAACTTTTCCAGCATACTTTTGAAAGATCTTTTAGATTGTTAAGGTCTTTCTTATACCTGCACAGGCAGACCTCATTGTGTGTCTCCTGGTTAAAGAGGATACTCTTTTTACTTTAAAATATCTGATAAGATTCCTTCCCTGCAAGTATTCTCCAGGATGAAAAATCCCAGCTCATTCAGCATGGCAGATTTTTCACTCCCTTAATCTTCTTCTCGGCCCTTCTCTTGCTTCACATCCACATTTTTCTTGCACTGGTAAGGCCAGAACTGAACACAGCACTCCAGATGTGTCCTCAACAGTGTTGAGTAGAGGGGAATAACCACTTTTCTTAACCTGCTGGGATGCTTTTCCTGATGCAGCCTAGGATAAGGTTGACATATGTTGCTGACTTATTCAGTTCATTGTCCACCAGGAACTCCTAGTCTTTTTCTGCCAAGCTCTTTTTCAGCTGGTTGGTCCCCAGTCCCGCTCCAGTGCATGGGGTTGTTCCTCCCCAGGTGCAGGACTTGGCACCTCCCTCCATTGAACTCCATCAGATTCCTGTCAGCCCATTTCTCTGGCCTGTCGAGGTCCCTTTGAATAGCCCGGTGTGTCAGCTCCCCCTTTCAATTTTGTGCCATTTGTAAAATTGAGGTGCACTCTGCCCACATCAGCCAAGTCATCAATGAAAATGCTGAACTGTCCTAGGCTCTTGGATACACCACCAGTGACTGGACTCCAGACGGACTTCATGCTGCTGACAAAAACCTTTAAATTCAGCATATCAGCTAATTTTCACTCCACCCCACTGTCTACTTCTCTTGTCATAGCTTACTTCATAAGTTTGTCTCAAGGATACATTTCAGAATCTGTCAAAAGCCTTACTAAGATCAAGACAAACAAAGTTCACAGCTTTCCTCTCATCTGCTGAGCCAGTCAACTTTCCAGGATGTCTGGTTGGTTGAGCAAGACTTACCTATCACAAATGCATGCCAACTACTCCAAATCATCTTCTACCTTTAATATGTTTAGAAATTGTTTCCCCGATTAGCAGCTCTATGACTTCCCAGAGACTGATGCAAGGCTGGCCAGTTTGTAGCTCCTAAAATCCTCGTTCTTGCCTTTCTTGAAAATAACAGTGACATTTGATTTTTTCTAGCTCTTAGGAATCTCCTCCAAACAAAATAACTGTTCAAAAACAATTAAGAGTGACCTTACAGTGACTTTAGCCAATTCTATCAGCACTTGCTGAGTCAGGTGTGATCATGGACTTGCATACTCCCAGTTTGTTTAAATCTTCCCTAAACTAACCCTCCTCTATGAAGGGTAAGTCTTCCTTGTCCCTGCCTTTTCCACTGGTCTCAGAGACAGGTGAGAGATACAAGTCTCACAAATCTCTCTCTCATTTCCATTTTAAATTCAAGAAGGTATGACTTAGTTCATTCTGTCAAAGATGACTGAATACACCAGTACTCACAGCAACTGTCTGAATTAACCTTGAATGGGGACTTTGCTAATCCTGTTTTATGTCAGATTAATCTGAATGATGAATACAATGATCAGAAACTGCAACACAATCTCTGTGAAACTTCTGGAACACATTCACTGCAATATCATTTGAGTGGATGAGAATAAAGTTGGAAAATTGATTAGCACCTTCATGGCTTCTGGACTGAGGTTATGATCAGGAATTAAACTCTCCATGTTTAATAGTGCAGAGAGCATTATCATGCTCAAATTATGTTACCTCAGTGGGCTCCTCACTTATGCTATGGAGAGGAGTATCTTTTAAGAAGAATCTTGTCCTTGTCAGGAAAGTAATATTGCAGGAGAGCTCTACGGATTAAATAAAAATTAAATAAGCATTTAAGAACTTCGGAAAAAATAAAGGGTGTGACAGAAATTGAACCCTTCTGTGGCAAAGTGGAAAATAGACTTTGTCCAGGGGAAAAAAAAATCACAAAAATATCCCTTTTATGGGATTTTCTGTTTGGTAGCAAATTTTTTTTTTTTTCTGATAATTGATTATTCTCAGAATAATCACAACATTATTCAAATAGTGAGCATCCAAACAATTAGAAACAGGGATAATGGAGCATGCTGAAAAGATTTATCTTACAAGGGACCCATCATCAAGGCATAACAGGTCAAAAATGACAAGTAGCAAACAAAAAGAAAATATTTTATCTATCATACCTTATCCTTGAAAGAGTCACAGGAGAATTAAGTATAAACATAAAGATTCTACTCAATTCAAAAGAGAACATTCATTAAATATCCTTAAGTTCTCCCTTAGAATTTCATTTTTACAGAGATAGTTGTCACGAGTAAACAGACTTGAGAAACTTTCCATTTTTCAAAGAGCACATTGACTTAGGATCTTTTCACAGGACACAATGCTGCTTGTTAAGTTTATCTGCAAAGATGTCATTTTTCTTTCAAGGACAAACAAAGCAAACAGTACCTCCCCCATGGCTATGGTATGTTAATTAACCTATCATTTCTAGAATATAATAGCTTGTCAGCAGAAAAGGCTAAAATTGTGAACTGACTTCAATAAAGTTCCCCATTCCAGATGATAAGTTTCTTTAATTAGCATTTAAGCACTACTAGGTAGCCTTATTTGAATGGTCCAAACAGCTTTTATTAGGCTTGGTAGCCATTAGGGTATAAAAAGAAAAAATATCTTATATTAATCTTTGTCTTCAAGACATATTCTCAAAAGAGCAACTAGCAAGCTCTTAAATGCAGTCAACAGTAATTTTTTTTTCAAGTGCATCTACAATTAGGACTTCAGTGTTGTGTAGGTGCATTTAATGTAGGGTTACACTGAATGAAAGTGTAATCAGGCTATGACAACTTTCACTTTACTATGGTTAAACTGCTGCTGTTACTCTACCTGGTATATAAAAACTGTCTGAAGTATGTCTGACTGAATAACCCACTGGAGTACAGGCAGCAGACCATTGAGAAATGGACATACATGATGATCAGGACTCTCCTACAGTTTTACCATCCTCCAGCACTTATGGATTAAAGCACTATTAAAGCAAAACTGAATTAATTTATAATTACCCAGCAATAATGATTATGTTTTCTTTTTGTCTGAGCATCTGTCAAGAAATGTTTTCATCCTCACTGAACATTAGTCAAACACCTGCTTCTCTGAGCTGTGATGCTCAGAGGAATCATTCTCCAACAGGGGTTTAATATGTGCTGAAATGGGAATGCATATTTGTGCCTTTAATTAACAACGAAAAATGTAATAATAAAAAATCAGCTAACACCTCTTGGAAGTTGAAACATAAACATAAGTTCTCTTTCAAACTAAAATGAGTTGAACCACTTAAAGCCATTAAAAAATAAGGATCAAGACCAGTTACAAGGACTTTTTAGCTGCAAGAGAGTGCACTATCATTAATCTTCAGGGTTCAGAATTCTTCCTCCTCTTTGCCTTTGACATGTTTCATTTCTATAAAATCAGGATCCAAACATGTAAGAGTAGTTTAAATGCTTTGTGCTTTTACCTGGCACATGCAATTCGGTCTAGATTTCACATTCTCATTCCTAATATATGAATGTTACCTTGAAAAAATAAACTATCACAGTTAATAAATGATGACACAGTATGAACTCAAACATGAGTTTCTTATGTTTCACCGATTTTAAGGCTGGTAGGTTGGAAGCTGAGAGTTAGTCCTGCCACTAACTAATCTAATCTACTCAGGGCAATTGTAAACACAGATTACCACCTGATGACAGTTTTATTCATAACACTTAGGACAAGTAGAGTTGTTCACAATATATGCTCAAATTATGCATATTTCCCAGCCATTACAGCCTTATCAGTGTCAACTTCTAGAGACCAACATGGTTCCTGAAAATAAAAAAAATAAAGAGAGAATCGTAGTGTGTGCATAAATGATAATGCAGTTAGTTGAATAAATGATACCGGAAAATGGTGAATCAATCTGAATATGAGACAGACTGTTAGAACTCTAGTGAAGAAATTAGCAAGCTGCAATAGACAGTTACAACCATACCTACAGGGACAGTTCAGCATACACAGAGGCTATACAAACTTCACATCATAAATCACAATTTATTTTAGACATTTTATTCACTAAAAATTAACAGCTTTCTTCATTCGCTATTACTCTCAGTCACCCGAGTGCTATGCACTTAAAGTACTTTGTGCTTAAAGGTAAGGATGGTTAAGCGATTGATGCCTCTGTCTCCCTCTTGTTCCTGTATCCCCTTTCTTCACTTGAGACTGCTTAACATTAGATTTTTATTGTATACATCTTAAAAATACACACAAAAAACCAAGGCTCTCATTAAACATACTGCTAGATTTCAACCACCATTTCAGATACCATATTGTCTAAGAGACTTTAATTCTACCATCATGTATGCACAAGCTATTGATATAACCATATGGAAAACAAATTTCTGGGATTTCTTCTCTAACCACAAGAATATATGGAACAGTGCTGGATGTGAGAGTTTTACCGCACAACAAAGCAAACTGCTAGCTGAGTTGCATTTAGTACATCTTCCCTAAACTTGGGTAAAGATTAAATAAATTAACTTTGACCTTCAAGCAATTAAATTCTCAAAGAGATAACTCTCTGAGTTTCCCTAATTTGCATAGTTTAATTCTGCTGAGCCAGAGAAGGACTTCTGTAACTTCTCTCAGTGATGTGACTACATTGCAGTAATAGCTACAGCAAGTGTGTAGCTGGTACTAACCCAGACACGATTTTGCAGCACTGCAAGTACTCCGAGCTAAACTGTGTATCTAGTTCAATATCGTGAGACCTGCAGTTCAGGTCCCCCTATGACCTCATGATAACATTATTTTTAATTTAATTAAGAAGGAAAATTAACATTGCTTTCAAGAAAATAACTGAGCAGGCTCCAGTTCTGGTAAGATTAAAATATAAAGCTATAGGGATCTTGGAACCAAAAGGATTGGGGGTAAATAGTAACAAAGATCCATCATTTACGCTGCTATCTGCACATTCGCCACTGTTTGTAAACACCTGTAATAAGGGAATAAGCCTAAATTGAGTGACTTAAGTTTTCCCATAAAAGCACTCAGTCTGCTCAAACAATATTCTCTCAAAATACAGAGTATAAAAATAACATAGATAGAATGATATACATACCCATTCTAGAACACGGATAAATAATCTTAAGTCAGTGATGGCTAAAAACGAAAAATGTCACTATGAATTTGGGAACTATGTGTTTGGGTAAAAGCATTGCTAGTTATTCCATCTCTTAAACATGACTGTGAGGGAAAGAACTGATAGAGGAGTGATCTGTTTTTCTTGCCTTAAACCCTCAAAAAGAGCTATAACAGCCCTCGAGTGTAGTGGTTGATAACTAAAACACCCATGACACTGCATACCAAGGAGCAGAATAAATATGTAAGACAACTACTGAGAGAAGAGCAACTCTCTTAATACTAAACCCTTAATAATTAGAAAATACATACCCCTAAAGTATCTTTTTTTCTTCCTGATGTGTTGCTGTAATGTGCATTCCACTGGGGTTGGGCATGCATTTCTGCACCTAAAGTCAGAAAATCGAGACCCTTCAGTTCCTAAGTACACTTCAGCCATTTATGCACAGTGTAAAGGAAACATTCTCCTCCTATTTCTTTTTCATTATGGACTTCATAAGGTGTACAGAAATATGAAGCAAAGAGGAAAGTTAGAAAAACAGGAATACATTGGGGAACAGCATGTTACAAAGGTAAATCTGTTAGATAGAGGCAATTAACTTTTCTATTTCTTGACCTATTTATTCAACTGTCATTTTATTCCAAACAATAAATGAAGTAAGAAATCAGTCCTTTTTCAGTATTGATGGAAGGAATGACTAACTAGAAAACATACCCAGAACAATGCTTGTTCAAAATACTTCAGATAAGGACTTCAGAGAAGTCTATGCTATTTTTTTGTATTTGCCAATGATTAAAGTTGGTGAAAATTTTTGGCCATGTTGGAATTATATTGAGCATTCTTGTCTTTGACCATTCACAGCACTACACTTCACTTGTATCTAGTTTGAAATTTTCTGGTGCAAACTAGAAGATTTGTCAGACTCTTAAAAGAGACAAAATTTGATCAATTTTATTCAAAACCAAGTCAAGATTACAGCCATTGTGACACCTGAGCACTTTATATTTATCAGTATTTTTCGGAGTTTTGGTTAGGATTTAATTGAAACTCTGTAATGATGAAACACAGAGCATATGCACAAATGTCTCAGGGGGTTCTGATACCAAAACTTCCAAAAATCTGTTCTACCTACTGCAGTCTTAAAAAATATACATATCACAAAAAGATGAAGAAAGACAACACATGCATGAAGAGTATTAAAAAGACAAAATTTTAGAAATTTTATTAAAGTATAAGACAAAGGATACTGCTTTTTAAAGGACAGAAGACTCTACTTGCTTTCATGAAGTAAATCCTGGGAGTGCTCCAAAGCTTGCAAGGAAAACTACAGCCATTATCATCAAAAGATGCAATTAAACAAACAAACTCCCCCCCCCCCCCCCCCCTTTATTTCCCTATCCTTTTTTTTTTTAGATATTTTTCCTGGTGTTCAAATTAACCTTTTCTTGAATGCAGCCTGCATAGGTCAGGAATGCATACCAAAGTAACCTTACTAGACACTGTTGAAAAAGGTTACAGTGTGAAACTAATACTTTGTCATCAGTCAAAAAATCACCATTTTTTCCCAGAAAATGGGCAGATAATTTGAACTACCCTGTGAACTAAGTCTGTCTTATTTACAAAGAAATTGCCAGTATAAAGTCCTTTACCTAACTTCATCCTCAGGCAAACATGGATTCCAATCTTCGAAAAAAAGGCTTGTTTCCCTTCATTGCAGATAAGCAGCTAAATGATACTATTGCTGAAAATAAGGATCACTCATCTAGGGAATTTCCTCTTGTGATTCCTGGAAAAACATTTTCTGCAATTGCAAGCATGCTAGAGATACTTAACTTCAGTACTGACATGATAATCTGATGATGCACGCATGTGCCCATTCCAGAGCACTAAAATGTACACAGAAGGAAAAAGCATTTTGGAATTTAGAACAGTCTTGTCTGCTTGTGTAGCACACTGTTGTTATGTTGTCATAAACAAAGAGAATCTTGACATATGTTAGGAATTCTGAGATCATCAACATAAAATTCCTCAGATAAATACTAATAATGAGAAAACATGGGCACTGTTCCAATGCACACTACTTTGAAAACTAAATGTTCTCCAGACAAAATTTGAAGATTCCAGATCAGATACTTTTCACTGAAATCAATATGAGCATTTTTGTCCAATAACATGTTCTTTTCTTAATTTCAGTGATTTGGATGGGACCCTACTACCCTTTGAACCTATCTCCAGTAGTAAAATGTAGTTCACATACTTTATTATTCAGTGATTGAGTGTGTGCCATAATAAACAAGTGAGAGACTTCAAACTAAAATAAGGAAACGTTGTTAGTCATAGCTACTGTTCTTTAATAAAAACACCCCAGTTAAATAGACAATGATGTCACAAATAATTTGCTAGCCATACAGCTATGCAGTAAACAGTGATCACTTGGCACATCCTGTGACATCAAAATGATTAATTAATATGATATATCAGCGTATTGCCTTATGCATGAACAGCTGTTCCTACACCTTCCAGATGGATATACTTAAAGTTCTATCATTCATGTTATATACCACCCACTAGTGGTTATCTGAAAACCTTCAAGATGCAAAACCATTAAATACTATAACAGACTATCAAGGTAATTTTGTATTAAGATTAAAAATGTCTTGAGTCAAATTTTTATATAGTTGTTCTGAGAGGCAGTCTGCACATTGAAGAGTCTGTCCAGTTTCACAGATGCTAATTAAGGCCAATTTGTCACAGATAAGCAGCAACTTACATCAGCTGTTAAACCAACAGGAGAAAACCAGGGGAAAACCAAATTATAATCCTGTGTATTTCTACTCTGGCATTCAGAGTAATCTTCTATGCAGTTCTACTTTTAGGAACTTAATGAGTTTTGTATTTTTTATCATATTTGTGTTAGGCCTAAATGATCTAATGTTTTTGGAAAAGCTTTACCACTGGAAACCTTTTTGTCTATTGTTTCAGGTCTAAAAGTCTGAACAAAAATGAAATTTACTTTTTTTTTGCCTCTGAGAACTTAAAATTCAAAAATGTGACATACAGAAGACAAAATCTGATGAAAAAATCAGATGGGATAACTTCTTTGCATTTCATTTTCTGTTTTCATTTTTTGTGCATATGCAGGGTTTTTTTGAGATCTACATGAACAGAGTAGAAGACCACTCTGTACATAAGCAGAGACAGGGAGGAAATCAGTTGGAAAATAAGAAATGAAGTTGGCACCAGTGGTAGAGAACTTGCTGGAGAAGATATTGCATAAATGAAGAGATTAATGGACATTGTTGTGCCTTGTTCTAGCAACACGCTTAGAAAACTCATTTACAACTCCTTTCAATCAGCCAAAACTATTGCCTTGTATGTCTGCACTGCACAATAATTTTCAAAACAAAGCAAAGCTGGATAAAAGAGACCTAGGCAAAAGAGTGGCAACGTTGGCAGAAAAAAATTGTATCACATGAAATTAGCCCTGCCTAGTTCTTGTGGACTCCATACACCTACTATCAGGAGGGGTCACCACTCTTTCTCAGCAATAAGAGACAGAAGTATTTGCAGAGGCTTAAAGCTTACTTTCAGCATCAAATTGTCGTCTACAGACAACAGTAGTAAGCTACTTGCTATAGAAGAGAAGTTAAAACCTACCTTGTAGATTTGTATGCCAGCAAAGCAAATTACAGGTATCCTAGAAATATCAGACTCAAATCAGTAAAGAATGGCATTATTTCCTTTTTTTCAACCTTTGTGTATGACTTTACCAAAAGGAAATCCCTCAAGCAAAACTTTGAAGAGGAAGTAACATCAGCACTGCACTGAGAAAATCCAAACTGTTATACTACAGAGGTAGTATAGCAGAGCACCTGTATTAACATGATGCATCTTATTAGAAAGAAACAGAATGTTCTGGAACCAATGTCCATCCAGCATGAATTCATGACAAAATAATGTATGTCTGTTAAACAAATCCTGAAGGGGTAGCCCAAGAAGAGAACAACAACAAGACCTCCAGTAATCACATTAGCAGATAAAACTCCTTCATATCAAGCCAACCATTGCCTTGGTCGCATCCTCATCTTCTAGAGGTTTCTCCAGACTCTTCAACAGATTTTATACCTTCATATTACATACATAACTGTATATGGTGTATGTGTCTGACCTTGAGAGCATATTCCTACAATGTGTTTTCCTGAGAAAGAAAATCAGCATGAGTAAGCTCTAGACAGTTCAGCAAAAGGTGAGAAAAGCCTATTATTCCAATGGTCCTTACACTTACTCTCCTACATTCAATTTTAAAAGCACAGAAATAAAGGATATACATTCATGCTTACTGCAAAAATTCTCATTGACTAATATATACCAAACCAATCAGCATGATTATGAACCTGTTTCAATCCACAATGGAATAGATTTAGCATATGTATGGTCAGTTATTAAATTCCAAGAGAAGGAATGAGAGCAAAAAAAGTACACAACATAATTTCTTAAATCACTGTGCTGTTTCAGAACCAAACATATAAATATGCTATCAATGGCAAAGGTCATCAGCATGTAGGAAGGAACTAAGATAACTTCCTGTACCTGTATTCCTGTATATTTGGATTTGCTGGGGTTTTTTTAAGAATTTTTCATGTACACATGAAGGCAAATAAGCAATACATATAACAAAATATAAATGTAAAATAAATAAAAGCAAACTCAAAAAGAATCATATTGAATTTAACATTATAGATTAAATGTTTAACGCATTTTATGACTACAATTATTATTTATATTACTGTACTGTCTAGGGATCCTACTGAATGACAAGAATTGCAGTAGGACAAGAGTGTTGGAAACACAAAAAAACACTAGAGGATCATAAATCTTACAGTCTAAACACTGGACAAAAACAATGAGCAATACACTCAGAAACATACAAACATCAGCTAATATGAATCAGTGTAATAAAGAGTAGCTCATAACACATTAGCAGCCCTAAAGAAATACATTTTGAGCAGGTAGATGCATTGTAACTGTAAATCTGTAATGTTAATAAAACATTTTTCTCTGTTGTATATAAACAGAAGAAACAAGTAAGCAAACAAATCCATCAATCCTAAATCTATTACATGAAGGTTCACTAGTGCTAGCCTCTGTATAACCTCTACTGACACAGAGGTTAAAAAAATGGTAAAATCAGCCCAACAAGATTTTTCTATCTTTGCTGAATAACTGAATATTAGTCATAAGCAACAATCACTTTAAGAAATACTCATGCAAAACGAACTCCATCCCACAAGTCTGAACTTATTGTGTATAACAACTTTATTCTCAAGTGAAAACAAAATTTTATAGATGTTACAATCTGACCACATATTTAGAATTATAAACTTGTCACAGTTCATCCTCCAGCAATAAGCTGAAGCAGTGAAGCAAACTACTCTCACCAACTAGTTAATTGCTTTCCAGCACCTCGGTTAGATACAACACAGGCCCAATTCCTTCCCATTCACAAAGAACAAAGTAGGATGTCCTGGTTTTTGATTTCCTTCCATTCTTTCAGGTTGCTACTGTTTGGAAAGGTATCAACAAACATACTTGGGCTTCTTTAACAGACAGATCTTTTGTAGACAGCCAAATTGGACAGAAATCTTTACATTCAGTGGCTTCTCACAGCTGAGCTGTAATATCCTTGTGGCACTGTTTGCAGTGCAGTAATTGAGAATAGTGCAGCTGTATTATTAAAAAAAAAAAAAACAAAAAAAAAAAACCCAAACAAAAAAACCCCAACATGCCAAACTTGCCAGAGAGCAAGAATACTAAAACTAAAATAAAATAAAGGATTCTAAGGTTGAAGAGAAGAAAATTATCTGTATAGTCCTGTAAAAAGACTGCATTCACATTGTGTCTCTTGCAAACTAAGCTGCAGGCATAAGGGCATAATAAGCAGTAGGCAAAAATGAACAGGGAATTCTATAGGAATACATCTTTCATCTAGACAAGATACTTGTCATGCTATGAGCTGCAAAGCTGATTACATAAGGAATTTCTATGCCTTGTAAGCCCCCCTAAACACTTCTCAGGCACATCAGATTACAGTGTTTACTCTTTGAATCCTTGACTATACCAATTAGGGACAAAACAAAAAAATGCAATTCATAAAAAAAAATAATCTGCCAGTAATACAATTTCACATGTTATTATGAAAAACCAAATACAGACATATGTCCCTTGGACTCTCAGTCAAGTAACAACCACTAGGTAAGGAAATCAAAATATGCAAAGCAGAAAGGTTTGACAAAGGTTCCTACAGCCATGGTAGGTCAGGATAAGATGCAAGTAGGCAGTAATGCTATTGGAAGAGTAAAAAAAATCCATAGTCTTCCAGAAGCATAGATCTAGCTGATTCTATTAAAATGGTGTGACTGAAGGATGGTTTTAAGGTAGTTAGAGGAAAGAGGGTAAAGTCTGTTATACTTCTTGAAGAAAATGCAGGAGAGTTGAGACTTTATCTCACCGTGCTCCAGGAAAACCTTCATGAATATATCAAAATGAAAGCAAAATCTCAAGTCTGTATGAAGTGAGAAAATAATGCAAAACTGAAAGTAAAACCAGTACATGTGTGTGCCAGCAGTTATAAAACATGTACAGTCCAGTGGAGATAGCTCCTTCCCTCAACAATATCTCTTAAGGAGTCAGCCTAAGAGTGTGAAGTTAATTTTGAGCAACAGTAAAGACATTTTTGTTGTCATGACTTTGCATTAATCCAAACTTGCTTGATTTGCAGTGGCAATAGGATTCTGCTGACAAGATAAGTCAAAGGAAACAAGCACACAAAATAGAGGAACTCCACTGAACAGTAAACATGGTACCATAAGGGGTTAAGAC